TCTGTGTTTTATAATGACTTGATCATTTTGATGAGACGGTTCAGAGCTGGGATCTGTCCAGTTTGGTTTTCCATGGATGGCAGTGATGGGAATGAACTGCTGGCTCTCCACGGTTTTCCATCGCTGACACTTTCAGGACAGTCGGATCAGAGCCGCTCTGGTTCCAGTTCATCTGGAGATCTGCTCTAGTCTCAGTCATCGTCTTCCTCCCTTTAACCTAAAAGCCATCCTCATTATTCTGAGCTCAGTGTGGGCTGATGTGGAGACAAAGGAAGGCTTAGAAACGAAGTGGCGTTCCAGTTTGTCTGCTGATCTTGAGAGAAGCTCCTGATTGAAACGTTGTCCAGGAAGAGACCTGATGGATGTCCATGTTTAGAAAAGGAGAATTCTTTGTTGTCTGTTTCCATCTGAATGTTGAAAGAAATGGAACGACTCAGACTGGAAATAAATGAAGCAGCTAATGAGACTCAAGCAGACAGCACACATGTTAGTGTTTTACAGACCGACCCACGAGCTTTAAAAGCAACACGTCTTCCACTTGATGGATTGCTCACAGTGTCTGTGGGGGTGAGGATACCACAGAAGAAGATGGAGAGCTCTGCTGATGTTGACTGTCTCATTTTTCTCAGCCTCAGTATTAAAATTGTGCACAAAACTTTGCCAGTATGACACTAATGTTGAGAAAACACAATTTTGCAATTGCGGTGTTTCCATTAAATAAGAGATGCAGTTAAAATCATGTTGCGCCATCATCCTCCAACTACTTCCAGTTGTCTTGTCATTTCTGCCAATATTGACATCCAGTTGTAGACCATGTGATGCGAAGAAAGTGTTCCCATTACGATTTTGTGAAATAAACCAATTTCCATATGGCCAAAAAAATCCTCCTCATTATTATCAAAAATGTCTTTTTTTTTTCTTCTTTTTTTTTGTTGTTTTTTTTTTAATTGGAGTGTTTCCAGTAGGTGAATGTATTTTTGGAATGTCAAATTTTGCCGTTATATGATCAAAGGAAACACAGTTAATGTGGCTAATTTCTCTCCACGATTTAAAAAAGACTGAGTTTTTAAATTGTAGATAACTTTTTTTCAATTAGCGATTTTTTTTTCTTTTCTTTTCAAAATTAATAATAATTCTCTCAATATGAAAATACAGCATAGACTAAGAATTGTTTGTCAGGAGATGCTCTCTATGCACTGTGTAAAATAAGTATTTTGTAAACATATTTTTCAGGGTTTCCTATTTACAAAGAATTGAGGTTTGTAGTATTCAATTGCAAGACTCAGAATCTTAAAAAAAAAAAAAAAAAACATCCACAGGCGGTACTGTTTCCTCTTGCTGGATGAACGCTAGCTCATCCAGCTCTCACACAGACATAAAGAGAGAAAACCTGTGGCTCTGTCCAGCTTCTAGCAGGGAGATGGCATTTCCACTCATCTTGCATGAATCACTGAGCTCTTCACACAGAGTCATGGCAGCAGCATGGAGACAGACAGACACGCTTGGTGAAATTCACAAACCCAAACACCCCCCACCTGTCTGAAGCAGTGAGGTGGGCTGCCAAGTGTTGTCATAAGAACTGGGTAATGACCAGTTCTAACATTAAGGTGTAAAGATTCAGAGGAGGAAGATAAATGAATGTGCACCTTCCTGTCAAAGAGTCGTCTGCGGTGCATCAGATGGCAGCTTCTCCTGGAATCACTCCTGTTCCTCATAATTATCAGAGCAAGTCTTCAATTGACTTGTTAATGATGAAAGGGAAGGTCCAGATGGGGGTTAAGGAAACAAAAAGGAAACCAGAACCGGTCTGGATGCTGACAGGGAGAAGAGTAGAGTAGCAGGGTAAACTGTTATTGGTCACAATCCCACCTGATGGGCTGCTGGGTGAAGGGTCACCTAACGGGTCACTCTTTTATATCTCCCAGAAAAATCATTATAGAACTTCATGTATCATAATAGAGATTTATCAAACTGTCCAACAGCAGATATGATTGGAGGTAGATGTATTTTTATGTCCAGGTTTCCCACTTTGTATTTGGTTCCTCCTGGTTTTTAAGATCTGCTGTGAAGGTCACCATCTTGTGTTTCCTCTGTATCAGTGTTTAGAGCTCAGCAGGAGGTCATTGTCGTTGTTCCACTTTTGCTTTAATTCACATCATGTCTAATTATCTGCGTCTCTCTGCCTCGGCCGTTCCTATTTGTTTTTCCTTGTCACTCTCAATCTAGAGGAGAACGATGTTTGTCAGATGCTCCGGTGTTCAGTTGGGTTCATGGCCGATGTTTGGAGTGGTTGTTCCGGCCGGGCGGCTGTGAGTTTAAAATGGAGCTTTGTTTGTTTTCACTGGCAGGTCAAGAAGAGTAAAGTGGTTTTAGTTGAGGCCGTGGCTGAGCTGCAGAGGTTCTAGTGTCCCTGTTTCTCCTTGGTGACCAGTGCTTTTTCTACACAGGAATTGAAATTTATCCTGTACATTTCAATTGAAAAAAAACATTTGAATTGCTGTGAAAAATTTTAAAACTAAGAAGGAATATAATCTGGATTCGTAAGTGTACACACTTCACCTTTGAATTCGAATATTAGAATTCAGTGTTCTTGTTAGAAGCTTGTCAGCATCATAAATCATAACTTGCCAGTATTCTGCCACTCTGACTTTTATTCATTCTACAAATCTCTTAGATTCAAAGGATAACTTTTGCACCCATCCCTCTTCAAATGATCTCACAGATTTTGAACTATTTCCAAAACTTTACTATACCTCTTACAAAGTCATTCTTCTGCTGTTTTCGACATATACTTGGACTTTAGAGTGATGATGAATGAAATCTATAGTCAATTTCAGCTTTACAAGTGACAATGTTTTTGGTTCAACTCTGAGTAAAACTGTTAATGATTTCACCGACCTCGGCAAAAAAAGCTTAGTTCCACCTGATGAAAAGCCATCCAGTAGAATGATGTATTAATTATTATTATATTAATTATTTCACTTTTTATTACCACTCACCTTCCTGGCAGTGTCTTAGATATACTGTTTGTAAAAGCCCCTCTCGGGATGGCTGCTGTAAATTATCTCACTCTAAGCATCATGATACAGGCATGGAACTGCTGCTTCCTTCTGTTTGTCTATTATTATGTCTGTTCCCATTAAAAAAATTAATAATGAAATAAATATAAACTCAGTTTGATGTGACTGATGTTAGCAGCCTCTCTGGTTCCTCTGCAGGGAGCAACAATAAGACGCGACGATGAAACAGGAGCCATCTTTGTGGCCCGGATCATGAGAGGAGGAGCAGCAGACAGAAGCGGTCAGTTCTAGCTCTTCTTCTTCTTCTTCTTCTTCCTGATCTTCTTCTTTCCACGTGTTTATCTGTCAGCAGGTTGGAGGTGTGACAGATCCTGACTCTGCAGCAGAGAAACGATGTGTTTGTGCCGTAGATTAAATCAATCCACTCTTTAAAAGTGAACACAGACGGCAGAGCTCTGCTGCTTGTCCACATGTTTCGTGTGTGTGTGTGTGCGCGCGTGTGTGCGTGCATGCTTGCGTGTGTGTGTTCACTGCGTCCAGCCTGTGTGTGTCGACTCTGCCAGAGTCGAGCCAAAGGCAAATTTCCACACATGTCCTCAATAACATCATGACTCCTTTCCAGGCCCACTGATCACCGTCACTGTAAACATTAATCTGCCGTTCTGCACACAACCTCCAGCTCCGAACACGCTGCACTTTCACACAGTAGCTCACTTGAGTTGGAAGATTAGAATAATCAATATCAGGATGATCGTAGAGATTTAATTCTGGTGTTTTTATATGTCAGGGCTGATTCATTCTGGAGACGAAGTGAAGGAGGTCAACGGGATCCCTGTGGACGACAAGAAACCAGAGGATATCATTCGTATCCTGGTATGGCTGGTGGTTTTTTTTATTTTTTCTTTAAATATGTGAAATTTTTCTTGTGTTTCAGCTTCTCTCACTTGGTAAACAAAGAAAAAAAAGTCTTTGTGATGGCAAAAATTGTCTTAATCTTATTAATCCCAACAGGAAATGAAATACTTAACCCAAAAAAAAAAAAAAAAAAAACTTTAAAATGTTTTATTTATACTTTATCCACCATCCAGGCCCAGTCACAGGGAGCCATCACTTTTAAAGTTGTCCCTGGTTTGAAGGAAGATGCATCTATCAGAGAGCCAAAGGTCAGTATTTTATCAGTAAATCCAAGTTAGGATCATTCTTTTTGCACATGGACCCAGGCTGTCCTGGGAGTATTCCTGAGATCCTACTGCATGGGGTAACAACAAACCTTTTTGTTGGTTCTGAGCATTGTTGTGTAGCCTCTACCCTTCCTGACAGTCTTAACAACTACACACTTCCAGATGAGCCCTCAACTAAACCCCCTCGCCTCCCATGTGCCAAGCCTGGCTACTTTGATGTCAGAGCATTAATTGGCCAACATGGTGACTTTCTTGGAATCCCTCTCATGTAGAGTAATGTTGTGTTGTACATAAGTTGACGACCAGGTTCTGCACATGGCATTCCTGGAAAAAAAAAAAAAAAAAGAAGCAGGGCAGGACACCTGGGAAAAAATAGAATAATCACCCTGTGCTTTCATGAGGAGCTTAATTATGATTAGTTGTGATTAATTGATGAAATAATCATCAGCTAGTTTAGTAATCTATTAATCTTTAAATGGACTACACAGACCCAAAAAATGCAATTTTCTGGAAAAAACAAAACAAAATCCCAACATATTCAGAGTATTAATGAAGCCAATATTTTACCGAAAATATATACATTTTGCATTTGAGATAAAACCACCATTTATCTGTAAATATGTTTTAGCCAAAATTCCTCAAGTGGCATCGTTTTAGCTTCACCTGCTTCAACTTTATTGAAGGAATGCTGTACTATGCTAAATGTTTTTCTTATTTAATTAATTCCTTTCTTATCTCTATATTTTAATGTGTTTCTAATATTGCATAGAAATGAAAAATATGTAGAATGCCAATTGATTATTCTGGCTGTATCTCATCTGAATAATTATTTGATCTATTGATTAATTGATTACTAATTTAATTGTCAGTTTCAGCCCTACTTTCATTAAGGCCCTCCAGATTCTGCCTCAATAACCAACTTGTTTCTCCCTTCTTGTCTCTTTTGTCTGCCCTGTTGCTGGTTTGTCCAGGTGTTTCTGCGAGCATTGTTCGACTATGATCCCAGTAACGACAGTGCCATCCCATGTAAAGAGGCTGGTCTGCGCTTCAAGAAGGGCTCCATCCTTCAAATAATGAGCCAAGAAGATGCAACATGGTGGCAGGCAAAGCTTGATGGGGATGCTAATCCCCGTGCCTGTCTGATCCCGTCCAAACAGTTCCAGGAAAGGTGAGAAATAACCGCCAGCTACGACTCCTTGATACTTGAGCCTCGTTTTCTTCCTTCTGCTGGCTGTGGACTGCCAAACATAAGCTGGATTTCCACATGGTCAGGTCTGTAATAAGTAATGACGGTAATGATAGCGACGGTACTGACGTATTTTGGGCAGCAAGGGAACGGAAACCTTCCCTTGATGTGGAACACATGACACTGGGTAGGTTTTCTGTTGTCATTCAGAAGTCCTCGAGGTTGAAATGGAAAACGTAGCCTTTCATTTCTAAACGAAGGGTAAAGTAGTTTTTGGGTACTTGACTTTAGCTAGTGTCTCCACTTCTCCTTTTATTAAGTTCTGTTTTTCTAAGTCTGTCCTGACACAATAAAGCTGCTGGTCATTGTAGAACTGCTTCTCTGAAACTTAGCAGAGAAAAGTGTGAAATATTCACCAACTGGCCATGAAAATGAGTGTTTCTACATTTTCTTTGTTTTTTTCATGTCCTTCTTTATCCTTCTTTTTCATTTTGTAGGAGATTCGCTCTACGGCAGCCCGCTGCAACTCTGCCACTACAACGGACCCTCAGCAGGCGACCATGTAAGCATTTACCACCTGCTGTGATTTTTACCCAACAAACCTGAACATGACAGTCTCAGTTTCACAGGGTGTGGGCGTGATGGACATTTGTCCCACACACTTTTTCCGACAACTGTTTCATCGTTGTTAAGATGTGGTAACTTGATTTTCTGAGCTGTCTAAGCTTCAGTAGTGCGTCTTGGTTCTTCACGTCACCTTGGATGTCAGGACAAACAGCTCTATGAACTGAGGTCAGATCGTTTCCTGCCTGATCTCCATCCTGCTCTGTTATCACATGGTGCTTCATTACAGCAGGAATGTTCATGTACAAGGCCAGGAGGCCATTAGACAATGTGAACCATTCCTGGTCAGATAGGCAGCAGATGAAAGCCTTACACAGAATAAATAAGGCAGGTCTGGGAAGGATTTAAGATATCGTTCTCATTCTCCTGTTGTCCTTATTGTTTGCTCTTTAAGCTCTCTCTCTACAATCACATCTCATCTAATGTGCTTTAGCTGCTAGTTCAGTGTTCTAGCTGGAGGAGGAGGGGAACATGAGAGCAGAAAATGATGTGAGCTCTAACATGTGAAGCTAGATTTTATGTGAAGGCAGAAACATTTGGTCCAAACTAAAAATGTGTCCTCAGAGATCAGAGCAGAAGTCACCTGACCCTGCTCCAGCTGCTGGGTAGAGATCTTTAACCTGCTGTTGACGCAACTCAGGAGCATCTGGAGGAAATTCAAAGCTTTTAAATTCTGGTGAAACATTTCACTGTAAGGTCCGTCTGTCTTTGATGTTGATTTTGTTGTTTTTATTTTAATCTCCACTTTATACAGTAGTACCAAATTATTTACAGACATTTTAGCAGCACATACATGTTATATTCCTTCCAAGGTTTCTGAATCTGAATGTTTTTCCTCCTTGTGAAATCACAGTGGCCACTCCACAGCCTTACTTCACAGATTGTGTCACACTAGGTAATGAACTACCATAGATATTCACTATCTAGAGAAATAGTTGCATTAGATCCAGATTTAAATATATTGAAAAGATTGTAGTTTTGATATTGACAGTGTGGCAGACATCTAGATTGTTATCTGAAGCAGCATTTCCAGTGATTTCAGGTTGATGAAGGTGGCAGAGTTGGAGGTAAACTTGAATCAAAGTTAATTACAGAAACTGTAGTTTGACCAACGTTGCTGAATTGCAGGAAAACTGAAGAGCCACCTTCATCCCTCTTCAGTCCTCCTTGTCACATAAATGCTCAGCTACATGCTTACCTCAGGCTACAGAGGTATGTTTTGTTCTTAAACACAGTGGATGAAAACATAACTTGATTCCCGAAAGTCAGCTGGCCTTTAAACTGTCTCTGCTTGTCATGGTTATGCGCATTTATCTTGTTGTATTAAGTTTAACCAGCATGTTGTCAGCTGTTTATTACATAGAGATAGAGTAAGTTACTCACATTAGTGAGTAACTGACCCAAACACATTACATGTAGACGTGTGGATAAAAATATCCCCAACTCATGTGGCCGGCAGACATTACTGACTTGAACTGTTAAATCAATTTTGTTAATCTTGAGCTCATAATGAAATGTGACGTCTCTTGACACTTTTATACACTTTTTGTGCACAAATAGGAAGTTTCTGGGCCCTCCTCAGTTTTACCTCCAACAACATTGTCATCAGCATCAGAGGATAGAAGTAGTATCCTGAGCAGAAGCTTCACCACATCCAGCAGCCTTACCCATAATGAGAGCAAGTGTTTCTTATTTAGTGTCCAAAAGGCAAATGAAGGACAACGGAGCATGGTTGTGTCCATAAGGCATGCTGCATTGCAGCTGACCAATCAGCTGCAATGATTGGTCATTACAGCTGAATGATCATCATGTTCTATTACATGTTAAATGGAGTGCATATTAACACAAACCTAAAAGACTGAAGAAAACCGTGCCAATGGTATCCATGCTTTGGCTGGTATACTGCAGGTTGTAGTGGGGTCTTCATGTTGGGTGGGGGGGGGGGGGGGGGGGGGGAGGCTGTATTTTGGTGAAACCCTGGCCAACATATGTTTTTTATTTGCAGCATTATGACTTATTTATTCTCTTTGTCCATTTCTTCTTTTCCCTCTGAAAGATGATGTGGAGATAGAGCTTGGTAGGTTTCTTCTCTTTTTTTCTCACCCCATTGCTCAACTGGCTTTTCATAAACTTTAGTACTTTTTAAAAGCAACTAACATTGCTTCTTTACCTTTTGGCACTCAAAGCTACTGAAATTGAAGGTACTACAACCTTTCCCTTTCCATCTCATATTTTACCCATGTACTTGTGCTGCTGTACGCGAGTCCACAGATCCCTTGACCATCGCCAACCCCTTTATCAGTTTGGTGTTAAATGAAAGGTCACCCTCTGCTTCCCATCCTTGTTTCCTTCTCCTTTCTCTTCTACTTACTCAGAAAAAGAACTTTGCACCTTGTTGAAATATATTGGTTTCGAACTCGTCTAAAGATACTAATTGACAAATTTATTGATAATATAAACTTATATCAGACAAAGGGCAGGAATGAAGATAGTGACAGAGGTCGTTGCATTATTTAGATTTGGTTTTACATCTATGGTTATCACAAAATGCATATCTAATAGTAATAATAATAATCAGTTTGTCCCACTACTCTCCCCATATTGTCCCCCATGTATTCCAGTGAATGCATCATTTTCATTTTCCCCTTTTCACTTTGTGATTAAAGAGGTAGGTTTCTGTTGCTCTCATGATTGATTCCTATTTTTAATCAGTTGTTGTTACTCTCTTTTGGATTCTTCTTTCCTTTTCTTCCCATCACCAGAAGATGCTGATTATTGTAGCGGATTCCACTTAGGTGAGAGATTCTCATCATCCTGTTTTCCAGCTTATCCTCTCCTCTCTTGGTGTGATTGTTTCACTTTTGTCATAACTGTGAAAGCTACAAAATCCGTCCTAGACAAAGTGCTTCCCCATTTCTCTAGCAGCTCTCCCTTCATTCATCAACGTTGACCTCCTTTGATGTCACGTGTCTTCCACAGGAAACAGTAACTTCCACTTATTGGTTGTTATGGCTGACTGACTGACTTATTTATCAGATATATTATGTTATTATTGTTTTCAGTCTGAGGGTTAAGTTATGGAGCCACAAATTACATTCAGAGATTTGTACATTTGTACAAAAAGTCATAATATTGGCACTAATTGAAAATGAATGATTGTTTTTGCACTTTTCACTTTTAGAATCCATAATTAATCTATCTATTGTTTCATTTGGATCAAACCCTCCTAACATTAAAGAGGGTCACCCTCCATGTCTCAGCTATGCCTCAATGTTCCGTTTATTTTCCACTCTCTCCGTCTCTCTGGGGATTCGCTCTGTCACTCTGCCCTTCACACAATCTCAGTGACCTCATCGTCTCTTCTTCCTCTGTTGGGCCCAAGCGACGTCCTGCAGTGTTGTAGGTTTGCAGCTTTTCTTGAAACCCAGTAGCTCTCTGTGAGATTTAACCAAAATGAGAAAACCTCAAGAGAAGGGAAAAAAAAACAGAAACCATTCTAATAACACGTCCTCTGGGTGAGTACAGCTGCGTGGCTTCTCGGCCGGTTGGATGTGGTTGTAGGATGTAACGTTGGCCCGTTCTCAAAGGTTTGAAACTCTAGAAGCAGCAGATGTTTTTCCAATGCTACTAAAGCTGAACGGCGGAATAAAGGAGGTGGTGGAAGGCGAGCAGTTGTTGTCCTCAGGTTTTAGTCTTTTTCCTTCCTTTTTTTTTCTCTTGTCCTCTCCGGCGGTGTGGCGCTCAAAGTTGTTTGTGTCAAGGTTTACTTGACACAGATTTACTTTCCACAAGTGGAGCATTTTGCCATGATACTCCACTGGAGACACTTCATTTCTTTGGGTTTATTTCAAATGTAATTCACACAGAGATGAAAAGGAAGGGGGAAAAGTGGGGAAAGGGTTTTAAAGGAAAGGAGGTAGCGGTAGAGGAGAGAAAGTAAACATCCTTGAAGTCTGCCTCTAAACCTACAGAAAGAGAAACCACAACAACAAACATGTGCATAAATAGCAGTTATGACATCATCATTGTTTTTTATTCCTGCTTCTATCAATCTCTGAAAGATTCAGTTAAAAAAAGGAGGGACTTCTGTGCTATAAAGGCACTGAACTTTAGAAACTGTGGACGACAGAATACAGTTGAACCATTAACCAGCCAACATCACTAAAAACCCTAAAAGATTCAACCTTGTTTTTCCTGTAGTCATCTTGGATTTATTTATTTTTTGTAAATATAACATTTTATTTCTTTGCTTTTGGTGTTTCCAGACTCTTTAGTGTTGGCATCATTGACTGTGTCTTTAAAGTTTCCTCAACAATCTGAACCACTTATTTTGTCAGTGTGAGTTTTATTCTTTTTGCTAACCTAGCGACAGCTTCTGGGTCGACCAGCATCATTCTGAGATGAGACGTCTCTAAGCCCGTAGAGCTGCGGGATGAGACGGAGGGGAAACAGATTGCTTCTGACGCAAATAGACTTTTAGCAGCCTCAGATCTGGAACATTGTTCCACCATGTAAGCCTGTAAGAGTTGGGTTGGAGACCATTTTCCTCATCCTTTGTGAGTCTCTTCTCCCCAGATAACCCAGTTTAAACACTGGGATGACCGCTACAGAAACTGATTAAAGATGTGAAGCATCATCTGGTCTAACCCCAGCTAAACCTCCCTCTGTCAGAAGGTCAGAGTAGCTACCAGACCAGATATGTAGGCTGCTCCTGGAAACAGATGCTGGATGTATTCACAAAGATCAGAACCTGAACTTCACTTCAGTGCAGAACCATAATCATTTCTGCAGATGTCTGTTGTTACAGTTGTAGGAGGAACATTTGGAGAACTCGTACAGTAGAGTTTGGCCGGAAATGTTTGGAGAATGACTTCTTTTTTTTTTCTGTGTGGGGGAAAAAAAGGTTGATGTTATGTCTGTTACAAATACAAAATGTCTGCACACTCTTTAAACCAATAGTATGTATGAATGCATGAAGAAAACATACAAGAATTAGTTTTTTCATATGTAAAATCCTTTAGATCAGGTGGGGAGCTATCTTTTTTTTCCAGTCTGTAAAAACAGTCTGTATCTGAATATAAGATTGGCTGCAAGAGTTTATTGGTAGCTTTGTTAAATTGTCAATATTAATCTGGAAAAATAATAATAATAATTAAAAATTATTTATTTATTTTTATTTATTTATTTATTTTTTGTAAGGATGGACAATGACCCACCTCAAGCTTTCCAAAATAACCCTGTACAAAATCTGACTGGGTCAGAGTATCCTCACTTTCCTTAACCAGAAAAAGATTGACTGCTCATCTTGGATTTAGAACGAGTCTCTGCCTCAAGCAGAGAAGTTATAGTATCATTTGGTTTTGCTTTTGATGAAGAGTCTGGTGGGGTGTGGGAATAGATGTATTGGAGCTTCTTCTGCAAGAAGGAGGTCATTGCTTCTGATGGTCATTGTTTAAACTTTGCCTTTATCTGTTTACTTCTTCATCTATGTTTCTAGCCTCATCTAGAGTCATGACAAATGCATGACTTAAAGAATAGGATCCTGGATATGCAGTACAAACTGAGATTAGCTTCTTCTCTAGGGTTTCTGATTTGGACATGGGGTTCGGCTGGAGCCCAAAGTAGAACTTCTGCTTCTCCACAATAAATAGATTCAGCTGATGTGATTGGAGGATCTGATCAGAATTGTTCCTAAAAGTTTCCCTTTAAATTAATCCCTTTGGCAGAATCAGAACTCGCCATAGAACCATATTTTCACTCTAACCTGAGAACATTTCAAGGTTACAAGAACAGCCTGAAGAGTGCCATCTAAGGATGGATGGATGTTTCATCTCTTTTTCTGATTGTTGATAATTTCTCTCTACTTTCTATTCTTTTGTGTTATGCAGAAGCACAAAGGAGATCACATATTAGAACGTTCAAGAACAGCAGTTCTCCTGTCTACCATCAGATTAGAAGAGCTGCAGGTCTTCTCTTCCTTTTCTTCCATCTTGCAATAATAATGGCTGACAGAATGGAAAGCCTCCACTCCTCCCTGGCTGCCTACCATCCCTCCTCCTCATCCTTCCAACCAGTCCTGTAATCTGGACATGTAACAAGGCAGGAAGAGCTGCTAATGCTTCCCACATTTGGTGCCCACCACCTGGACTAAGTGTTACAGCGTCAAACCGCAGCATTGAGCTGAGAACATAACGCTCACTTCATCCCTCAATGCCATGTCTGGTTATCTCCATGGATATTGTCTCCATCCAGTCTGAGGAGGAGAACCAGGATGGTTCTGGAGCCCACAGTCAGGCCCCGGGCCCCTGATGGAGGGTCCCTCACTACAGCAGCTGGTTTCACTGGGAGCTTTTTCCTCTTTGTCTCACTTTCATTTTACCCTCACCACTCTTTGAGTGAAATAAGTTGTGATTGGAGGGAAAAAGGCTGCTTGTCGTTTACTGATGGCCTCCATGTGACGTCTGGAAGACCTGATGCTGCTCTCTGCTGTCAGGCTTTGTGACGGTTTCTCGTCAGATCAACTTTTCTTTCTGCTTCACTGTTGTGGACATTTGTTTTNGCAAAGTACGAGGGAGGTTCGCTCCAAGATGGCCGCCGTATTTCCTGCGCCGGAGCGGCCAATGCGGGGTCTACTCTTACATTATGTCTATGGGTTTGAGCCAGGGGCAATATCCTGTTGTTGATTATGTGACTCGTGTGACGCGAAACGTGCGTTTCGGTTGCAGTTTTGGAAAATAAACCGATTTTGATACTGTCGAAATCCCCCCCACCACCACCAGCAGCACTTCATCCAAGGCTAAAATTTTTAACGAAAAATTACTGTTTTTTCTTGTTTTTTAAATTGGTGTATTTCCATGAAGCAAATTTATTTCCGTAATGTCAAATTGCACAATTATATGACAATGAAAACGCAACTAGAGTCTGGAAGGTTCGGAGTTAAAAGCAAAGTTTGGATGCCGTTTAGAGACAAAAGATCACAAATTAAAACTAAACTGCATAGAAAACCTTTCATGGATAGTGCTTCCAACCCAAAAGAACCACTGATATTTTAATTGTTTTGGGTGAAGTTTGACTGCTTTTTTATGTTTTGATCTCTGGAACCATCACAATTTCTGGCTGATGACTTCAGAGGAGGAACTTTTACGGCTTTAGGAACTATTGGCAATGCAGCTGTATGGTGAATGAACCAGTTTCTTTTATAGAGGGTTTTTTTTATATAGTGGAACTGTTCTCAGAATTAATAGCTTAAAATCAAGTTCAAACACCTGGATTAAAGTGGATTGATAAACGTCCCCATTTATTCTACAACAGAGATTTTGCATGATTCTCCTGTAGATCCAAGATGGATCATAAAAATATGATCCATCTTGGATCATATTTTTAAATATCATATTTATGTAATTTTGGTGCTTACCAGGTTGTTTTCAGTGAACATCGTTGACTGTGGCTTTAAAGTTTCCTCAACAATCTGAACCACTTATTTTGTCAGTGTGAGTTTTATTCTTTTTGGTAACCTAGCGACAGCTTCTGGGTCGACCAGCATCATTCTGAGATGAGACGTCTCTAAGCCCGTAGAGCTGCGGGATGAGACGGAGGGGAAACAGATTGCTTCTGACGCAAATAGACTTTTAGCAGCCTCAGATCTGGAACATTGTTCCACCATGTAAGCCTGTAAGAGTTGGGTTGGAGACCATTTTCCTCATCCTTTGTGAGTCTCTTCTCCCCAGATAACCCAGTTTAAACACTGGGATGACCGCTACAGAAACTGATTAAAGATGTGAAGCATCATCTGGTCTAACCCCAGCTAAACCTCCCTCTGTCAGAAGGTCAGAGTAGCTACCAGACCAGATATGTAGGCTGCTCCTGGAAACAGATGCTGGATGTATTCACAAAGATCAGAACCTGAAATTCACTTCAGTGCAGAACCATAATCATTTCTGCAGACGTCTGTTGTTACAGTTGTAGGAGGAACATTTGGAGAACTCGTACAGTAGAGTTTGGCCGGAAATGTTTGGAGAATGACTTCAATGTTTTACTGCCAGAAATGAATTATGTTATATTTCTGCTGTGAATACACAACAAAGGGAGCACACACACTCTTTAAATCAAAGCTATGTATGAAGAAAATGGTAAATGTTAAGAAATTAGAGCTTTTCCTCTGGAAAACTGTTTTTCAGGTATTAAAATTAATTTCATTTTTTCCCCAAAAAAAGTTATTTCAAGAATAGACAAAGAGTCAGGATTAATCTGAAGTTAAATATTAAATTGAATGAGGTTCTACTTGTGGTTCTGGATGCTGTTTACATGAATCCAACTGTAGATGAAAAGAGGAATGTCTGGGTTTCCCTCTTGATTATCTGATGTCAGAAAAGTAAAAGCAATGGAGGAATTTTAGTTCTGTTTTTATCTGCTCAATATTTTGTTCTCCTTTTATTACTAAATATCCTTGAATTACAGTTTTCACATCAAAATCTCATGTTTTCCTAGAATTGAGAACAGCAGTTCTCCTGTCTACCATCAGATTAGAAGAGCTGCAGGTCTTCTCTTCCTTTTCTTCCATCTTGCAATAATAATGGCTGACAGAATGGAAAGCCTCCACTCCTCCCTGGCTGCCTACCATCCCTCCTCCTCATCCTTCCAACCAGTCCTGCAAACTGGACGTGTAACAAGGCAGGAAGAGCTGCTAATGCTTCCCACATTTGGTGCCCACCACCTGGACTAAGTGTTACAGCGTCAAACCGCAGCATTGAGCCGAGAACATAACGCTCACTTCATCCCTCAATGCCATGTCTGGTTATCTCCATGGATATTGTCTCCATCCAGTCTGAGGAGGAGAACCAGGATGGTTCTGGAGCCCACAGTCAGGCCCCGGGCCCCTGATGGAGGGTCCCTCACTACAGCAGCTGGTTTCACTGGGAGCTTTTTCCTCTTTGTCTCACTTTCATTTTACCCTCACCACTCTTTGAGTGAAATAAGTTGTGATTGGAGGGAAAAAGGCTGCTTGTCGTTTACTGATGGCCTCCATGTGACGTCTGGAAGACCTGATGCTGCTCTCTGCTGTCAGGCTTTGAGACGGTTTCTCTTCAGATCAACTTTTCTCTGTTTCTATAAGCTGTGTCTCAATTGATCATAAAATTGTATGAATTAGAATTTAAAAAAAATGTTTAATTTAGTCAGTCTTGTGTTGATATGTCAGAGTTTTTCAGACGTATTAAAATTTGTGAATTTCTCAAAACTGTAACGGAAAGACTTTTTTTTGCATCACACGAGTCATGTGATCAACAACCAGATGTTACTACTGGTAAAAACAATGAAGACGACAACAGGAAGTGCTTGGAGGATGATGAATAAACTTATTCAAGAATTAATAGAAACGCTGCAATTTCGAAATTGTTTTTTGTTCGGCACAAGCGGAATTGACAAAGTTTTCCGCACATTTGTAATGGAAATGCAGCTATAGTTGTGGATAATTGTTAGGCCCAGGGTTGTAGTGGTTCTCAGTACGTTGGAGTCTGAGTGGGTAGTTTGTAGCTTCAGCTTACAGAGGCTGCCAGCTGCTTTCCTTACACACTTGCTAAATTTCCTGCATGGCTGTGAAACATTATCAGACTGGAAACTGGGCTCAGAGGAGCTGCGGAGAGCTTCCAACAGAAATGTGGGTCTCCTTCAGTTACACCACATGTCTCTGCTGAATTAAATAAATCCATCTTCTTATTTATCCACCAAATAACTCCATCTGAGTACTTCTCATTTCCAGATTTGGCATTTTCTTCACTTAGGGCATTAAACATTCTACAGTAAGACTCACAGAAAACCCCTTCAGGATCAGTGTTCTGGTTTTTAATCAATTAATTTTTAATTTTTTAATGTTTTATGTGTTTTGAATGCTGTGTAGAGAGTGCTAGCTAGCTAGATAGCCAACTAGCTATGTAGCTCGCTAGCTATAGCTAGCTAGTTGCCCATCCAACTATCTAGCTAGCTGCTTATCTAACTAACTATCTAGCTAGCAAGTTAACACAGTAGCTAGAACAATTCTGATTTGACCCAATTCACTGAGGAGGCAGATATTGGATCTTTGTGGCATGTATATCCTACATTCCTCTCCCTCTCTTAAGCTTTCTCCTTGGATCATCCTCTTTCACATTGCTGTCTGCTGACGGAAGGTTTTCTTCCCAAATGTCCTTAATTTTATCATTTCATTTGTATATGAGTCAATCCATCCATATTAGATCATGTTAATGTCTGTCCCTACCGTCTTGTCCAACAAAAGATAAAATGTCTGTTGAAGAATAACTGTTCTGGCTCTTCAAGCGGTTCCTGTTTTCTTCTGGAGAGAAGCTGCAGAAACCTGAAGCCGATGTTATTCTGAACACCATGGCTCCAGAAGATGATTAGGGCCAATGGAAAAAAAAAAATAAACGGATTTAGACTTTTTTTTCTCAGAATTCTGACTTTAATCTTCTGAGATCAAAAGTCAGAAGGCCCTAATCCTCTGTCGTACTGGTGGGACCTTCTTCAACTGGACTGAAATAATTGCTTGGGTCCAATTTCAGTATAAAACTGGACCCTCTTCACTCTGATTAAGAGAGATGGCAGCATAGTGAACAGAATTAAGTTTCGTAGTTTGACTCGAAGCTTAATCAGCGAGCAGATTGTTTACATTGAGCTCAATGAATGACCAGTGTGAGTTTTTTGGGTCTAAATCTTCAGAACCTGTCTCTTTCCCTTTCAACGGGATATCACTAACGCTCCACTCTGATTTGTTGTTGTGATAATGCCAACTTTTTCGATATCAGTTCCAGTTTGATGGCTTCTTACAGGAGAAATGTAGATGAATGGGGGGATGTTTTCCACTGTGAGGGGGAGGGAAGAGGGGTTCTGGTGCTGAATGAGTAGATTACTCACAGGAGAGATGGCACAGACCATGAAAGCCACAGCTTGGCCAGAGTGGAACAAAGTCTGCCTCAGTTCACTGTAAGACTATATCCAGGCCGCGTGCCTTCACTGCTTCTCATACACACACGAGCTTCTCCAAAAGCAGTGTTGCTGTGCTGCTGTGACTTACAGCGTGTTTCATCTGGAGCTCAGCGTTGGTCGGCAGGTCCGTCTCTTATTAAGGGACTGTTTGGAAAAGAACAAGCTGAGAAAAATGTGACTGAGCTGTTTGTCGGCAGAGAAACACAGCTGTCTGAGGATGTTGTGGAAAGTATGAGGCTGTTATTTAGTCTCTCACTTCATTTCATTTTGCTTCATTCGTTCTGCATCATGCATCTGACTTTTTATTTATTACTGATTAAAATATAATGAAATCATAAAAGTGAAATAAAGTCTCAGTTAAAGGCAGCAGGCAGACAGAGAGATTTATAACTTTTCAGGTTTCAGCAACATCTAATAAATACGAATGTCTGCTTTTAATACTTTTAATCATTATGAGATCAGCGTTTGCACAATGAATCAGTCTATTAAGAAGTCTTTGTGTCGCTCAGAGGTTGCAGTTCAGCTAAATCTGGTGATTTAAAGCAGTTGCAAAGTGGTGTGGGCTCAACACTCCAAAAACACAAAGAATTACTAAATAATTGTGGTCTAGTTTCTGCTGCAAATATTTTATCACACTTGAAATAAGACAAAACTAATTTATAAGTAACTTTTCAGCAAAATATAGAAGCTTGTTTGATGGAAAAATACTTGTTCTATTGGCAGATTATTTCACCTATGACAAGATATTTCCCCAAATTATAAGTAAAAGGAATCTGGCAATGGAACGAGCGCTTTCATCAATATTTAAGAATTAGACTTAAGCTGGTATATTTTGAAGAAAATTTACTTATAAGTCAGTTTTGTCTTCCTTCAAATGTGATGAGATATCTCCACTAGAAACTGGTCAAAAACAAAAATACTTTGTTAGAGTTTGTGTTTTGTGTAGTGTAGTTTTAGCTATTTTACATTAATCGTTCAGATTTTCTTGTACCAAACATAAGCCAGGTTTAGGTAAACAAAGTGTGTGAAAACTTTAACTAACAGAATGTGACTGTTGTGTCTTAAAAAAAACCTCCATCAAAGATCTGACAGGATCTGAGAGATTTCTTCAACTGACGAGCTGCTGTGGGGCCAAGTTTTCACCAACAGATGGTTTAGAATAATTTTGCTGGTGATGGAATATTATTTTTAAATAATACTATTACATAGTAAAATACTATTTCTGTTTTAATAAAGGCAGAGTGGAGCTAAACACAGGCTGGTGGTCCTAGTGGGTGAGTAAAGAGCCCGATGGTAATCAGTGAAATCACTGCTCACCTCTCACTCTGCTGCTGTCAGACTTGGCTCTGTAGAAACTGTTTTAATGAAACTCCTCAAACACTTCTAGATGTGTGACCTCTGGGAGTCCAGAAGCTCCAGAAGGACGGGCCTCAGTCTTCGATGATCCAGGAGAAACACGCGGTCCTTAATTTAGCTCTCAGAGGGATAGACGGTGCAGAACTCGCATCAGTCAGTCCCATTAAACGCTTTCACCTCCTGCACCTCTCTCTCTGTGTCCTTTAAACCTGTCCAGATGATGGAACTGGTAGCACCTGCATGGAGCAGCTGCTGCTGCTAGGCTCCCCAAAGAGCTTCACAATGATGTGCTGAGGTCCTGAATTGAATTTAGTGGTTCCTCCTTCTGGGTTTGTGGTTGGAAGACGAGTGTTGGCAGTAAATGTTGGAACAATGAGCTGAGCCAGGTGCAGCAGTGAAGCTTTAAATCTCTGTCTGGACCAACTGGAGCAGCAGGGAGCTGTCGACTTCTCCTTGTTTTCCCTTTTTAGGTTTCTGATGAGAACAAAAATGAGAAGAACTTCTCAGACAGAAACGCAGAAACATCATTCCTGAAGTTTTCATTGGGAATCTCTTCAATGTTTCCATTAATCAAAGGAAAGCTCACACATCTGTTCCAGCAGCTTCAGTTGGATATTTCAGGAGGTTTTTTTTTTAGAAACATCTAATCTAGAAGGTGGAGAACGTTTCCCTCCTTCATTTCTCTACTCCAAGCTGTTGCCTGATTGGCCAGGCCTTGGTACTCAGAGTATGGACTTCATCAGGTCGAGCTGCTAACAAAGAGCTGAACCCGTCCCACCTGTCTTCCACAGGGTGGAGGGCAGTCTGTGGACATTTGGACACTCATGAAGTGGAGGAAGAAAGACTCTGCTTTCTGTCTGTTGATCTGCTGTCCTTCTTCTGGCCAGACTCGTTGGATTTTCCTTATTTAACAACTGTCTCTGTTTTTCAAGAACTGACCCATATCTAGTTGCGATTGCATTACAAATCTGTGAAAAACTTTGTCCATAATCTGCTAATGTCAAAAAAGCACAATTTCGCAACTGCGGCGTTTCAAAGCAACACACCAGGTATGTTTTTTAAGGGAATTACATCATAACATGATGTGTTGTGTTGATGAAAAGCTGCTGCCTGCTCATGTCTCTGCTGCTGCCGTGGAGCAGCAGTCTAACAAAACCTGGACATACAGCTTTTGGCTGTGTGATCTGTATGCAGCTGAGTGAAGCTAACACCCCACCCATCTAAAAAAACTCCAGCAAATACACTGAGTGGTTAGTGCTCCGTTTGTGCCAATAAATTTTCGTTTGTGCTGCTTTGGTTTCCTGAGATATTAAAAATTATTTTTTGAGGTCATCCAGAGGTCACCATCCCCCTCATCTTGCTCCAAAACAAACCATAGTGGGCTACTTCTTTAGTGCTTCGTTTGTGTCGCTAAAATCATCATCAGTGCAGGTTTTGTTTTTGAGATGTAAGTTATAATTTGGACAGAAATTTTGACCCATGGGTCAACATTAGCGGGTGCTGCTCATTCTGTCCCACGTGAGTGTCTCTATGTCCAGTTTTTGGTGGCTTTGGCGCTTCATAGTCTGACACTTTTAGTGCTGAAGCAAGAGAGAAACCCAGGAGCACAGCTCAGAGAAAACAGCAGCACTTCTGCTTTATTGCTGGCTTTGGCTTCAGACTGGAGCTGCTGGTTCTGTTGGACCTCGTCTGTGTTGCTCCCTCTGATCCAGAGGCTCCATGTTTCCCCCTCAGCCTGTGTGTGCAGGTCTGGTTCCTGCTGGATTGACTGTCTGCACCACTGAGATAAGGATCACTACAGAGCCTCTATTACCGCGCTCTGCCACCTTCACGGCTACAACAACAGAACCCGGTTCAAACGGCAGTGCTGCATTCCTCCCACATTCCTCAACCCGAGTCCAAACGAACTCCACTTCCTGATCTGAATAAATCAGCCGACCACTCAGCTCCTCCGTTCCTCCGA